GGATGACCCTCCCTGGGCTGCAGGGACCCCAGACGCCTCACTGCCTTAACCGCTGCCAGCACCACCAAGAACTGTATTCTTCTTCCCATTGTGGGGGTGAACAAGGAACTCCCCCAGAGAATTGTGGCGTGTATGGTTTTTTACAAAAAGGAAAACCCAATGAGGAACAATTGGTGATTTTTATGCAGAAACTAAATGATCCTTAATAAATACATATATTTTGAAATCAAAAAAAAAGAAGAAGAAGATGAGGATAGTGGTTGTGATCACTGACATGGGAGCCTTCCACACAGTCTCTCATTCCACTCTAACCTCCGGCAATGAGGAGCAGCAACCCTTTACCCCTATAAAGTAGGTGAGGTTGCATAAACCCTTTACCAGCCACACAGCTAATTCTCATCGAATGAATGAATTCTGCCAGCTAAACGTCATTAGCTCGCTGCTACAAGTGAGGAATCAGAGGCTTGGAAAAGTTAACTTGTCCAGGGCCACACAATCAGTAGTGGGTGGAGCTGATCTTTGAACTTGAGTGTTGACTTTCAGCCTAGTCTACTATGGTGATGTGGCTGCAGCTGCTGGCACTGAACTAGGGTGTGGCAAATGATGGTGCCCAGGAAACTGGAAGGCAAGCACCTTCCTTAGTCACCACCTCTTCACTGAATCTAGGCCCCACCTGCATGCTACAGTTTCTACCCCAGAGGATGATAGTCCCCCTCCAGGGCCCTCCACAGCAGAAGTAAAATGAGGCTTTCTGCTGTTGTAAAGATTTACAGCCTGGGAAACCCAAGGGGCCGTCTACCCTATCCTATATGGTCTCTATGGGTTGGAATCAGCTCTACAGCAGTGGGTTTGGGGTCTTCCACTATAGGATTATTTGACACTCATTTGCTCACTAAAAGCTGGGTGGTTTGTACCCACATGCTGCGGAGCAAGAGAAAGATTGGCCGCCTGCTTCTGTAAGGATTACAGCCTGAGAAACCCCATGGGGTCATTCTACATCCTTCTGACTCAATGGAAATGGGTTCGGTTTGCATTATGTAGACCCAGACCTCTGTGGGGTGGAAATAGTGAAGTGTCCGACTACTAAGTGGTTGGTGATTTGAACAAAGGCTGCCTCAGAACAGAGGCCTGGATATCTGCTCTGAAAGGTCACAATCATTGAAAATGATGTGTAACCCAATTTTATGGTTGGGGGGGGGGTGTCACCACAACATGAGGAACTGTAGTAAAGGGTCGCGGCATGAGGAAGGTTGAGAACCACTGTTCTATGGTCACCCCAAATCAACAGATACTCATCCTATGAGAGTGGTGTCTTCGGAAGCTTCATCTGTTGATGGGGCAGCACTCAAATTAAGGAGAAACAACGGCAAGCATCTGCTAATGCCTGGAACTTGGAATGTGGGGAGTAGGCATCTAGAGAAAATGGAACTAGTCCAAAATGAAATGGAATGCATGGACATCGGTATCCTCGGCATTGGCGAGCTGAAATGGTCTGGTATTGGCCATTTTTAATCAGAAAATCAGATGGTTTACCATGCTGGAAATAACACAATCAAGAGGAGTGGCTGACATCATTCGTTTGCAAAAAGGACATTGTAAAATCAGTCATGAAGTACAGTGCTGTCTGTGATAGGATTAGATCTATTTGCCTGCGAGGAAAGCAACACAACTATTATTCAACACAAAATCCAGTGGGGAAGAAATTGAAGAATTCTACCAATGACCAGTTGGAAATTGAGCAAACATGCGATGAAGATGCATTGATAATTGTTGGTGATTGGAATGCAAAAGTTGGGAACAAAGAGCAAGGAATAATAGTTGGAAATTATGGACTTGGTGGTAGAAACAAAGTTGGAGATCACATGATAGAATTTTGCAAGATCAACTTGTTCATAGCAAATACCCTTTTTCAACAACACAAAAGACAACTACATACATCAACTTCTCCAGATGGAACACATAGAAATCATATCGATGGCATCTGTGGAAGAGATGATGGAGAAGCTCAATATCAGCAGATAAAACCGGGCCAGGGGCTGACTGGAACAGACCATCAATTGCTCATATGCAAGTCCAGGTTAAAGCTGAAGGAAATTAAAACAAGTCCATGAGAGCCAAAATGCAAATTTGAGTCTATCTCACATGAATGTCAAGAACATCTCAAGAACAGATTTGATGCTAATGGCAAAAGACATGATGAGCTGTGGGAGGACATCAAGACCATCATTCATGAGGCAAACAGAAGGTCATTGAAAAGACAGGAAAGGAAGAAAAGATCAAAGTGAATGTCAGAAGAGCCTCTGAAGCTAGCTCTTAATCCTAGTAGTAGTGTGATAGTTGGCTCTTTGTGCCAACATGGCTCCCGTAGGGACATGTGGACGGAATTTAGCCTGTCGATCAGGTCACATTTGATTGGAGGACTACCAAGATAAATGGCTTTCCAAGACCAGCCTCCTCTCTTTCTCCCTGGTGATGGGACCAGCAAGTTGCTGCCTCAGCTAGTCCTTTGCCTCAGCCATGTGCTGTGCTACCTGTGGGCTGAGTCAACCCATCTCTAGAGCTTGGAGCTCCATAGGACCTGCTTCTCCACACTGCCAAGCTACTGGTCTCTGCTACACCTCGACTTCTCATCTTCCTGCTGTTGCCACCCCACCCTGCAGTGTCTGCTGCCTGTGGGATGTCTCTGCTCATCTTTCCTGAGGGCAGATTCCGATGTCTGCTTCCTTGACCTTGGACCACTTGCAGGCATGAGTTGAAGGACCTTCAGTATTTTACTGCCTCAGGAAAGTGAGTTGAACTGAGCCCTCTGTATTGCTGTGTGGACTAATTAGCTGTTGTATTCTTTCTCGCTACATAAATCTATCCTTTTATATGTATAATCATATGTGTCCTGGTTTTGTTTCTCTAGAGTCATGCCTAACACAAATAGCTAAAGCAAATGGAAGAACTGATGAAGTAAAAGAGTTGAATAGAAAATTTCAAAGGGCAGCTCGAGAAGACAAAGTTACATATTATAAGGAAATGTGCAAAGACCTAGAGAAATGTACAAAAAACAAAATGGAAGAAGATGCTCAGCATATCCTAAACTGAAAGAACTCAAGAAAAAATTCAAGCCTTGAGTTGCAGTTTTGAAAAGATTCTATGGGCAAAATATTGAACGCTGTGGGAAACATCAAAAGAACATGGAAAGTATACACAGAGTCACTGTACCAGAAAGAACTAGCCAACATTCTACCAGTTCGGAAGGAAGCGTATGAGCAAGAACCAATGATGCTGAAGGAAGAAGTTTGAGAGGCACTAAATGGATTAGCCAAAAACACAGCTCCAGGAATTGATGGAACACCAATGGAAATGTTTCAATACGCCGATGAAGCACTTCCTTCTCCGGGGGAGGGATTGGCATGTCTTGATTATATGTTCAAAGTACATAAGCCTAAAATAGATACCATGTATTGTGTACACTGGACTGAATGCTCTACATAGACCTCATCACTCTATCTTTATATGAGCCCTTTGAGGTAGATACTGCCATCATTTTCTGGGCTTCCCAGAGAAGGAAACTGAGACTCAGAGAGGTTAATTATGAATCACCTACAGAGGTTCTTAAAAATTCTGATTGCCAGGCCCTCTCTTAAGAGACTGTAAGTCAGTTAGTCCAGCATCAGTTTATGAGATGGAATTAAAAAGTAATAATTTACTTTTGCTGTAGTTATGACTACACAGCAGAAACACACCAATTCAAGACTTTCTAGATGTGCAAGTCAATGGACACGAGTCACATTCTCCGTCACACGACAGCCATACCCTTCTCTGCTGAGGTTCCTCCTCGATTAACATAAACTCACTGCCCTTCAGTTGCCCCTCTAGTCTTTTAAGTTGCGCTTGTCAACTGGATCCCATCAAGATGGACATTCAAAGAGACACAATGCACAAGGCAGGTTTTCTTTATTAGTTAAACTGTTGTTTGACTCATAAGATGTCAGGGGCATTTGTTGGGTTAAGGTTTCATGCTCAAAGATTATCTCAGGAGTCCATCCTGGGATTCCATGCAAACTTGAGATTCTGTTTATTTCCTCCATTTTGATAAGGATTCTTTTTTTTAAATCAATTTATTGGGGCGCATACAATTCATCACAATACATAGATCAATTGTGTAAAGCACATCTATACATTTGTTGCCCTCATTATTCCCAAAATTCGCTTTCCTCTTGGGTTCCCGGAATCAGCTCATTTTCCTTTTTTCCCCTCCCGCTCCCTTCCTCCTCCCCTCTCCCCCATGCACCCTTGATAATTTATAAATTATTATTATATCTTATATTACACTGCCCGGCGTCTCCCTTCACCCACCCCTCT